GTGCTACTCGCCTTCCAGGATGGGGACCGCGTGATCCTCAGTGTGCCTGGTTGGAGACACTACAAGATATGGCTGCCAATCGATGTCAGTGGCATTCTTGTTGTCAGTTTCTATCCAGATTGCCGACTGAATGTCTGGAGGTGTAGGCACCTCGGAATGATTGTGTTAAGCTAGCACTAAGGTCCTACCCCGTCCACATTTACTCTTTTCTTTACAATAAGGCCTTCAAACAAGTCATGGTTGTACGGCAGTGAAGCATCGGTGTTGAACACTGATGTCATGCTCTCGATGATGATGATGATGATGATGACTTTTATTCACTTCGGAGGTAGGCGTCTCAAGCTATTAGAGACATAGGGTCTTATTATGGCCTTATGGTCTTATTATCCTACTGGATCTGTTCTTTCATCAAACTCTCCCATCGTACGATATACGTGCAGATATTAGCTACAATCGGAGCATTGTGGTAGTTTGAAGTAGATACTGTCGAATGAACGGGGAAATGGGGTCATGTTGCATGCGATTTGTGGCGTAGGCTTCTGCAACCTGTGTGTGTGTGTGTTGCAATTCACATATTGTTTCCTCTCAGAAGTAGAGTTAACCGAAGCAAATCAAATCAGAACAAGTGGATTCCCCGTGGAATTCACTATATGCTTACCGTACCACAAAATTTGTTTGGTAGAATTCAATTTCACATCACTCTCGTCTGAACATTGCTCACCCTGCCCTCGGACAATTGCTCTGATGAGTCCACATCAAAGGAGGGAAGCTAAACAGCAATGTGCATCCTTGGCTGTGCCGGAATTCGAGGTCCGGAAACCTGGCATGTGAAGCGGGCGTGTGACCAGTACTCCACTAGCGCACGCTGGACACATCTGAACGATCAGGTCTGAACAGGCGAACATGTTCACACTTGACCGATGCGCTGGTAGAGTTCTGATAACATGCTCACCTCACATGTCATGTCCGGATTTCAAACCTCGGCACTGTCGGGGATACACACTGCTAGTGAGCTCTAATCAGAGCGAAATTCGAGCCCGTGCTCTGGAATAACCGGATTCACTCCGTCAGGACAACAGGAGTGCCCAGACGAAGGTGATGTGAACAGTAATTACTAGAATAGCCTTAGTAGCAGTGTGAGGAGATTTGGGATTTCTATGGAGATTTCGTCCTGTAAGTGAAGCCAATCTATGCTGTAAAACACTGTACAGCTGTTTCATCCTTATTGCAAATCATCATCAGTACGCATCTCACGAAATTCCGGAGAGTCTCGAACCCGCGACCTCCCGACTAGTAGTTTGAACACTTAACCGTTCGGCCACGGGTGTGTGATTAACTCGCACTCAGACAGGATATAGCGCCGTTCATCCTTCAATCACGCGGTCACACGTGTTGACTTGTTTCGTTATGAATAAATGGTCACAGTTGTTATTCGGTATGCTTCGTTTCTTATACACATCGTTTTAACTGCACATAAGTATAGGAAAGCACCGGGCCGTTTCGACAACAATATGGCCCTCACCACCGAACTAGTCGTGGATTATGCATAAGGAACAGGGCGTCCGTCAGAGATCCACACAAATACAGTCTAAATCAAGCACAGTCCGTGGGTCTCATTACCAGGGCGCATACTAAAAGCCAGTGGAACAGAAAGACACACATTAACAAGCTGTCATTGAGTTTCTCGCTATGAAGCATACATCATTTCAAACCTTCCCGAGAATTTTGTGATAACAAACAAAGTGACAAACATTTGCCGCACGGAACAGCGGAAGGAACTTGGAGTCTTCAACCGGAAAGTGTGCAATAACGGATACCGCTCTAGTTATGTCGTCATTTTGTTGCAAAAATGTGTTACGGTCAGAATATACAGAAGCTGGTTGTATGTGGCTGGTAAATGTTGCCGTTGCTCCAGCGTTACGGGAACTAACTGAGTGCTCGTCAGCTAACTGATGGCCAATATGGTGTGCCAACATTGAGTTGACAGTGAATACGACTCACGGTTGTATATGTCAGTTGGTAAAGACTTGTTCGTGTGGTTTTCGGTTAGAATTTCGATTTTCAACCTACCCAATCGGTACAATGAAGTCAACAGTTCGGGATTTAGATCATAACTGTGCCTAGGACGTGGTCATTCTGAGCAGCCTAGTCCCGGTTGCTGGTAAGACCAGAAGTCAACGCTGAAAGGGTGAAGTTTCTTTAAACTAACGTGGAAGTTCACGACAAACTGCTCGCCATCAAGAGCAAGCCCCTAAACCGAATCTACTATGCAAGAGTTCTCCCAGATAGCCAAGAAAAGCGTCAGACTGTTCGAAAATCAATCTTCGGGTGGGAAATGGCGTGAACAACATGATTCGGTAAGATTCGGGCCGACTTCAAAGCTGTGAAGGCTTCTTCCGTAAACTAGTAACTGTTGGAGGTATCGCTGCCGCCAGTTGTCCTGCTCATGATCCTCTGAGTTGTAGAAGAAGCTAGAAAAGACGGTAAACTGCTGACTATTTTTGCGGAAGCGAACCATGAAATAAAGAAATGCGAATCCATAGTTCAGTCACTGTTAATGATGTTAATGTAAGATAGAAATCACAAAGTGATAAAAGGGACAAGGAAGGGACGAATCAGGATTGAGCATACACGTCGCCCCGTGTAGTTGTCAATGTCGAATAACAAAAAGGGGCAGGAACCCCAATGAGAATAGAAATACTCAACTTACTTGCATCATCCGTCATGGGGAAATTCAACCCCACTCGCCGGAAGAACAGAACACCTTGGGAAAATACAAAAGGCCCCGCACCGAGAACACCGCTCGCCAAGGCGACCAGAGCAGCATCCTGTTCTGTCCTACGGAACTGTCGACGAACCTTGTAGACGCGGACGAGACCTGCATCCAGCTCGCGAAATCGGGCTGCGTTTTCTATACAGAAAGCAAGGATAGGGAGGGGAACAACAAATCCGACCAGCTGAATAGCGAAGGGTTCAGTCGTGGGTGTGCAACTTCTATGGTTGTTCTCGGCAGGTCGGATCACTCACTTGTGTACGCTAGAACCTACGCCATTGACCTACGAAACTCACATTCACATTAGTGTCGTTTGAACAGCAGTCCACTTATAGAGGAGAATCTTGGTAACTCAGGTATCGTAAATGGTCGGTGATTTGTTCACTGAGCTAGGCAGTTTGATTGCCATCACAGATCGAGGTGACATCAGCAGTACGTTGTTAAGGAGCATAGTAGGGTGTACAGATGGGTCGGTGACTGCGCGTTGACTTATGGCAACGAGCGGGGGTTGGAGACAAACTGCGAGGTGACATCAGCAGTACGTTGTTAAGGACCATAGTAGGGCGTACAGATGGGTCGGTGGCTGCGCGTTGACTTATGGCAACGAGCGAGGGTTGGAGACAAACTGTAAGCTGGACACTTCAAATAGGCAGTGTTCAAGATATCGGTTGTTGACCATATGGCTGTTGATCTGTTCGCCGAGCGTGGCAATAGACTTGCACATGTTTCGTCACCACACGAAGAGACATCAGTGCGCAGTTGGGTGAGTACCTTCTGTTTGCCTTTATAGCATTTACAGACTATCTGTTATCTCCTAAAGTGATCGGCTATTTGGTTGTCGGCGTTTTTCCCGCATTTATTGATCCGTTTGTGACCTGTGTTGCGTTGTGGTTTGCGTTCCTTCAAGTTGATTGGTCATCTCAAAGACTTCTATATTTAGTAGTTTTGCCCCCGTTCCGATCGACCTATTTCAAGATAGTTATTTGATCCATGCACTGAAGATCTATAAAACCGGCTTGGCGGCAAGGCTAATCATAATACCTGGAGACCCAACCTCAGTCCCGATGCCAATGCATATGGCTACAGTTCGCATTACACCACACAAGTTATGAAGTTTCAAGGATTTCCTGACGGACAATCCGTTCTCATAGGCAGACTAGTATTTAACCGGTGTGTGCGTTTTCAGTGAATTCTTTGAACGATAGGTCAACGGGAGTGTCAACTTGGATAGGACCGCGTAAACCAGGAACAACAACTCAGGCGGTGACCAAAAACAACCGAGACCTACTTGAGGAGGCTGCTGCTTCCGATTGTCGAGTAGCCAAGGACGGCCCACTGATCAAAGAACCGCTGGGTAGAGTGGATGGCTGCTTGACTTCCTTGGCGAACGCAACCGCCTCAGCGAGATACCGTTTCTCAAGGTCTATCATCCGACGAACAACCACAAGCGACTCAATATACCTGACGAGTGGAGGAGTATGAGGACAAAGTCAAATGAAAACCGCTTTTCAGGGAAGAAAAGTAAAAGGAACCCTTTGTTGTACAATGCACTGATATTTTCCATCATTCTAACACTAACTGAGTAGCATAAAGATGACAAGCAAAAAGACCTTAATATAAAATGACCTCAGTTAACAGAGTTTACACGTGTGTTCCACCAGCGGTTGCAGCCGAGTGGTACATATCCGGAACACCCTAACTAGACCATTCAAGATATGCACCGCATAGTGTTGTGTACAGAAGCCACCGTCCTTCCACCCAAATATACGGAACCACAAGTGGCCCTCAATTAGTGCATAGGCACGACCTTTTGTGGGAAACCGAGTTAGTCAAAAACTGTGTTGCTTACCACTCCCAGGGTGGGTCTTCGAAACACCAACAAGGGATTCTAATTCTTGGTAGTGTGAGGAGATTTGAGATTTTTGTGGTGATTTCGTCCTGTAAGTGAAGCCAATCTATGCTGAAAAGCCCAGAAGCACTGTACAGCTGTTTTATTCTTATTGGGAATTATCAGCAGCGCGCATCTAACGAAACTCCGAAGAGTCTCGAACCCGCGACCTCCCGGCTAGTAGTTTGAACACTTAACCGTTCGGCCACGAGTGGCTGATCAGCAGTGTGATCAACTCGTACTTAGACAGGATATAGCGCCGCTCACCCTTCATTCACGGAGTCCACACCACGCGGTCACACGTGTTGACTGCCTCCTCGAGCAACGACTTCTCAGACAGAAGTTTCACTCATCGGGTGAAGTTTATTCTTCAACTGAGCTACTTATATATTGTTGGTAGTGTGAGGAGGTTTGGGGTTTTTGTGGAGATTTCGTCCTGTAAGTGAAGCCAACCTACGCTGGAAAGCCGAGAAGCACTGTGAAGCTGTTTCATGCTTTTCAGCATAGGTTGGCTTCACTTACAGGATTCTAATTCATTCATTCGAACAATACACCTTCGAACTGATTCCCGGCGTGTTTGAAATCTGAGTCTTTAGGGTGGCATTCACTTTCAGGTTGAGCATATATTATGCAGTCGGATTGGCTACTAGAGAGAACGCTGTACCAGTTGATTTTATGGACTCGAATTTAACCATGTCTTGAAATTCTGTTAAAGTTTGAATTTCTGAATCTCCCAATGGGATGGGCAATAGCATACATGGTTTTCGCTTAACCATGTTTAGTCCAGAGGGAAAAAGAAGGGCGAGCGATGAGGAGGAAACCACATAGAGATCACCATGCCCAGCTGGGGCACATACGTACCGCACACCTGATTACCAAGCCGGACAGAAATTACCTGGAGACAGGCGCCAATCCCATGAGGGCCAGAGTGATACGCATGCAAACCCAAGCCTCTTTGTTCTCCTCTTGCTGCTTTGAGTGTGGTTTCTTCGAGGCTGTGTTCCACCGCATCCAATAGCGGTAACAGTCGAAAATTCCGGTTCCTGGAAAAGGAAGTGAGAAAAATGAGTCGAGGCAAGCGACGCGAACGAAACTTAGTTATATTCCATCAACGAACAGGCTTAAAGGGACAACGGTCGTGGAACAGCATCTTATTCAACAAAATCTAGGACACTGAGGTGCAAACGCGACAATTTCCACACCCCTAGGTGTGTGGAGAACTCAAAGTTCTCTCTACGCTACCCTCGAGGTGTTTTGTGAACTGGGCATCAAAAACTGTGCAGCAAGAAGAAAGACAATCCAACTCAACAACGATGCCAGAATACTGATCTAGACCGGATCCGACGTACAGACGCGATTATCTTTCGAAAAACATCGACAGGAGCAACGAAGTCTGGCCTCTTCGTGAATGGAGCGGTGGAGATGAAGTCATCAGCAGTCAGAGCTTAGTTGATGATTGGCAATACTCACAATGGCACACGCCAAGAAAACTACATGAGAACGTCTACTCCTGAAAGAGAGTTGCATATTTCCACGGAAGTCTGAACGTTTATATAGAAGCTTACTTTAATTTATGGCTTCATTGGAGGTCACATCAGGCAAGCACAGTTTTTAAATTACAAAGCACAAAAGTTAGGTCCGTTGTACGTTTAGACCAGAGCTTTCCAACCAGGTTATTAAGTGATTCTGAGTCATCGTTGCAGTTCTGCATTTGCGGTAACCTTGCAACAAGACACCTGTAAGTTGAAATATACGAAGCCGTGATGCAGAAAGTTAGCCAGTCTGCTTCAGTGCACTATCGTCTTACTGAGGCCATGTGCTAGGTTTCTATTAGTGTAAAACAACCGTGTTGACTGAGGTTTTCAAATCCGCATTGGCTATTGGAACGCGTTTAGCTGTGATTGGTTCAGTCCCTGATTGGTTCTTCGGTTCTTCACGAGCTTGTGTCACGCGATCGTTGTTTGTTTTCACTGCGTTACATCCTTGAATCTTAAAGGATGTGTATCACGTTACAGTACAAGCTGTTTTGTTGTAAGGCTGCGAGGTACGGTCTCTGTGAGCAACCGAACTGAGACGTCTTCAGATCACCGATAGTCGTTGTCTCAGAACCATAGCCCGTATAAAACAGTGCCGACAAATCCGCCATGAGGTAATTTGAAAACAAGTGTTGGGTTTTGCAACGGAGACTTTAGTCGAGGAATGTGTACAACACCAAAAGCCGCGGCGGTTCGGTCACGTATTATGCATGCCGAATCACCATTTGGCGATAAGAGTGCTGTTTTTCGGGCTCACTTTTGACTGGAGCAAGCAGAGAAGTGGTCAACGTTTGACCTAAAAGAGGAGTACGAAAGGGGTTACGAAAACTTCGGGTACTGTCAAAGCGACTCGCCTTCCAGGATGGGTTCCGTGGGATTCTATTTGTGCACGGCTGCAGACGCTGTAAGATAAGACAACTAATTAATGTCAATGGCATTGTTGTTACGACTTCTCTAACAAACTGTCTGGAAATCTAGGCACCTCGGGATGATTGCGGTAGGCCAGTATTAAGTCTATTCCCATCCCCTCTTATTCTTTACTTCTAAACAGGGAGTTCAAATAAACCATAGTTGTACGGCAGCAAAGCATCGGTGTTTTAACAATGATGTTATGCGGTCAGTGGTAGAACGAGAAGAACGGCCTTTGACTTGTAACTAGTAGTAACTGGTGGGGTGATTGAGGCAACCATGACCAAGCACTGCTCTACCTATCAGCCCAGGAAGAAACGTTCCAGACTCGGTATGAAGTGGTCTTTGTGCTAAATTCACTTTCATTCGGGATATTCTTTATCGGGATCGATGGGACGAACTAAGAACAATCCTGGTACATTTTCTTCCCGGTAAAATAAACGATTGATATCAGAAGGCAAACAATGCACGGTAAACGAACTTTCAAAAAAAACACCTCACCCCAGGTGAGAAGTACTTCTATCTTCCCTGAAGGTGACTGTTGTCTTCTTGGGGAAAAACTGAACTCGGCTTTTATGCACCCGGAGGGAACACCGGTTAGGTATACTGTTGAAACGGTGTATATTACTAATGAATGAAGAGAGTAGTGTCTGGCCGAGCTCTAAAGTGTCATCCCTGCATCCGATGGACGGTTGATATGCAAATTAGTGAATCACTTTGTAATGTTTGTTCCTTGTTGATTAATATTCAAAGGACATCCAGCAAGGTCCAAGAGGACAATCGAGAATGTTTGCTTTCCACAAACTAACTGTAAATGAGGTTTTACTGCAGTTTCTAACAGCTTGTAACTGATCATTTCGTGTTGGCCAATAGAAACTCCCCAATCAAGGGCGCTATTCATTCCACTTGGTCCCGTGACCAAGTGGCAGCAATATTTCGAGGGTGGGGACGTCCTGATATTCCTGCAGGATTTCGAGGTCGTAAGCGAACTGGTACGTTTGAAGACCTACAGGTGCAAGTTGGTATCGCTGACGGCCCTCCTCAGAGGCCTGGCGAACGAGGGGGGTGAGTGCAGCCAGAAGGGGACCCCGGGAAGCGGACTTGAGAGGAAACACTTGAAGCAGAGTTTGACACACCGACCGGCCGCTTGGTGGCGGTTCAAGGCGAGCAGGATGGGACCGGAATGCGATCAGACGGTGTTCTTCGCCAGTCTGCGGCAATGGTTGGATCGCGCCTTGCTGGAATCAGGAGGAGTTTCGCCGTGTGTGATCGGTTCTTCGAAGGTGTGCAGCCGGCGCGCGGTGTTTAGTTGCGGTTAGCAAGAGCAACCAGCCAGTCAAGCGAGACACATCAGGTTTGCCTGGCACGGGAAACGGCTGATCTCCTACTGGAATCACAAAATAAGCGGGATGAGTCGCCAGTGGAGGAAATGTGGACTAACCGAACAGCTTGCCGCCCTCAAGGTAGAAGCGCGTAGGCACATTCCGTCTAGAAGATGCTATAACTGTGCCACGCCTGATCACTAGAAGAACCAGTGCTGTCGTACCTGCTCATCTGTCAATAATGATGGCTTAGTTCGCTCATCTTTTACCGCGTGGGTTTTGATTAGTGCACTGGCACGGGCTGACATACAGGCCGCAATTGAGAGAAACTGGAAGATTGAGCTGTGCTTTATCGATGCGTGGGCGGATGTATCGCTGAGGCTGAGGAGATGAAGAAGCAGGATGCAAACTGTGCACGCTACGGCGGGCGGTGGACATCGATCAAGAACTGACGGGTTGTCATTTTACTCGGTGCGCGTAAATGATAGTTCGGTGCCACACGAGTCACTGATCAGCCCAGACATAAAGCCGACAATTTTTGGAGCAGATTTCCTCAACCTAGCAGAATCCGTGGTAGACCTAAAGTGGAACAAGCTGATGACAAAGTACGGCTCTGTCAAGCCTGGGTATTAACTAGCGCTGTTAGCGAAATCCAGATCTGAAGGTTTCTGTCTCGTAATGTCATTTCAATACGATCTGTGGTCCGAGAGTCTGTTCACAGATGAAGAAAGTCTGTTACACTGGTACGCTTCCCCAACGAAGATGTCGCACAGTCCCACACTACTTCTTAGCACTTTGCTCACGTGAACATTGTTTCGGCAGTAGTTTAGATGCTACTACTTTTCCAGAGAAGTTGCACAATCATCCTCAGGGAGGCAACTAAAAATAACAAGGGCTAGTGAGATTCCCACAAGGGCCGATTACACTAGACTACAGCATTAATTGTCGCAAGATAACACTGTACACTGGACGAATTCAGAACTCATCCTAATGTCAAATCGATCAATAATGCACCAAAAACTAAGTCCAAGCTGCACCACTGTGTCCTTAGTGAGCAGAGAATTGTTTTACTCGAAAGTCACACGAAGAATTATTGAGTGGTCAGAAAGACTTGTGTGCAAAGTAATCAACAGCGCAGTATGTAGTACCGTTTTTTTTTAAAGTATGGGCCCGTTATCTGGTTCACGACTGAAAAAATCAATATGGATACTGTCATCCTGAAGAAGGATAAGATAAGAAGAGGGTAGTAACAACTTGGTGGTGGCTGTAACGCTCAAATTCAATCAACACCTCGTTATTTCACCCCATTGGATACTAACCCCAAGCTAGAAATTTTGACCAGTTTTAAAAGACAAATACACTGGCCCAAAATGGACCATGAGTTCAAACGTTATCAAGATCACTGGATCGATGTGCACTTTCTGAAGTCTCAGATGTGGCTTATTGTTCAAGTTTTCACTTTAAGAAATTAGTCATCACGGAAGCCTTCTTTGTCGATCGCCAGGAACGTGACAGGTTACGCACTGAAGCCGGAGAGTTTGTTCAGTAGTCTACCACGGGACAGAAGATCAGATCACTTAGCATTCAGTCAGATCTTCCTGAGCAAATGGCCGCAACGAATTTATGCGTTCAAAAGATTTCAATCCATGGCACGATCAGCTGACAGTTGTGTTGTTTGTTCGTTTTTAACGCGCCAATCATAAGTTTGTTGATTTGTTGTTATCGGACCCGTTTCTGACTTTGCGTTACGTGATGTGACAACGTAAAGCTTGGCAAGTAACCCATCTTAAGGCGTCTGCCAGAGACTTAAACTTCAAAACTGTGCCTAATGTACATATCGGGTGATGAAGAACCGTCCTTAACTGTTTCCCTTAGCTGTTTCCTTAGCTGTTCACCTTTCAGTTGCTTATCAGTAAATGAGGACTCGTCGAAAGAGGAATTTGAATCAGCAAACATGTGAGATATATGCGTTGCTAGCCTTGGGTCACGTGGCCCGTGTCCGTTACCTGGGTTATCAGGTTACGTGTCCATCAGTTTCAAACTAATGGAGCACAGGTATCATGTGTTAAACGCTTTCCTTTGCTAACAACCTTGAAACCTGTGACCAGCGAAAGGAATCGAACTGCTCTCCACTGAATAATCATCATCGCATGACACATGGTGCAATTCTAACAGAGAAGACAACTGGAACCAGGTAGCCACATCAGCTTCGTGCAGGTGCTCCCTCTTCGAGCAGCAAAAGTACATTTCTCCTGAATTTGAACTTGAAACGACGGCGTTAGCCTCACCTCAACCACTCCTGTTCAATTTATGTATTATAACGCTATAAAAAGAATTCAGTAATGTGAAAACCAATTCGACCTCAGTCACCAGCTCAAAAAAAGCTTTTCATTTTTTAGGCGGCAGACAAATGTGTCACCGAAATCCTACTTCAGAATGTCTAGTAAGTCTACTGTTGTAGGAAGTATAAATGATGAGCGATACTTGAGCATATACATCTAAAATGACAATTCTAGTTAGGTTCACTGTTTTGACCATGGTACCAGACGTGTACTAGTGTTGTTAAGACCGCGTAGTATAGCGGACCTTTTTAGCCATAACTTCACTCATGTGACCGTCTTTCCAACAGGCTTGGTGTCGACCAATCGATTCTGGAGTTCATTAAACTTGGCGTTTACTCGTCTTCCAGTGTGTGGTGACTAGGTTGGATAAGTTGTGCAGAGTAATAAAAAAGGGTGTTCTAAAAGGCCCCGTGAGAGCCGGTCATATGATGACAACAAGACAGGACGTGATGAATGAATTATGCTACTCATGACGAGTTTGTACCTGAATAACCTTCACGGAAGATGAGTAAAGATTCAACAGATGTTCTGACCCATTGGGGAAACGAACTAGGTTCCGAAGAAGTCTCAACAAAGAGATGAATGTACACAAAAGACTTATAGCTTTATGTGAAGCGAAGCTTTCTGATATAACCATTAAATTCCAAACTGCATCGTCCATTGTGCGAAGTTTCTGAAACGAATCAGAGCTACTCCCATTAAAATGTGTAGTGTGACAGGGGTTACGTACCGTTCAACAGAGTTCCTTTAGTTTCCTCAGAGTAGATCAACAATAATTTGCTTTCTCCCTGAACTGTTTCGTAATTTTCTTTGTCGATGGTAGACTCTTCCGAAAAAAATTCATTGAGTTAATGGTATATTTCCACAAAGTAGCCCAACAGACATTGTATTAGCACGATTAATTTCCTGACCATTGGTCACGGCATCGAACAGCCGACCATGGTAAAAGTACATCCAGGACATCGGCTTGATCATGCGAGAGACCCACTTGGAACCCCGCTGAATCTCTCGTGTAGTTCTCAAATTTCGTGCAGTCTGAGTTCAAGTAGAACATAAAGATTGACGGAAACTCGGGGACTACGTTTATCTGATGAGCTCCAAGAAGGGCGAAACCAGTCGTGGGCTGTGGAAGAGTTTTCAGCAACCTTGTGAGTAGTGTATTACGTCGTCTCACCCACTTCTATCCCAGATTTCCGTACGGTGAGAATATCGGCAAGGTTGAGATTTGCGGCGAATAAAACCAGTCTTGTTTCCTATGCGTTGTTGCAAAGTCAACTAGATCGCAGCACCAACCTAAACCCACAGAACATTGCTGCACGAAGCGGGACAATTTAGGATTTTTTTATGGATCTTTGCAAGCGGCACAGGACGCGAATAGTATTCAGATACACATAAAAAAGCAAGCGTGGAACTGTGGGCTAATGTGATAAACTATTGAAAATCTGCGCACACTACAGAAAGCATCAGTGTTGCTAACAGCGTACCACAGAAACCAATAGACGAATCGAGTTTGTGGTGGTATTACTTGCAAGATGCTTGCACATTTGCATTCCAACTGCATTGTCCAGTTGGAATCCCTCAATAAAAATTCTCATCACGCCGCGCTTGAAGATTCCGAAATAATGGAGTCGTGTGACGCTCGTGTTTGTTTGTCGAGCATACAATCCATGGTTGTCCTCGATAGATTTATGCCTTAGGCGTAGCCGGCTTGACGAGCAACGCGTGCCTTTCAATGTCAAGGTCACATATTAACCTAAATTAGGACCTGGTAATACGAAAGCCTGAACGCAGAGACAAACGGTACGAGATTTTGCAGTTCCAGTCAGCGAAACGAGTGCACAATGATAATGAGCAAACTGAGAATTTTTACAAAAGCAAGCATCAATGCTCACTCACACCAAAGTCTCTAGATCGCCATTCGAAATCAGACACGAATCAAAGGAGATCATCGTAAATTATCAAGCTTTACCTCCCTGACGCTCTCTGACAGCGTTTAACACCTCAAATATGCTCAGTTGGTGTTCGATTTCCACCACAGCTTAGGAAGAGAGAAGCGCAGATGAATACTGCCATTGAGAAAAACGTTTGTAACTTCGGTTGCATACACAGTTGGTGTTCTAGTCCCTGAGTTTGATAATTTGGTGACAAACCACAAGACACTAAACGGCGTGTAGATTGGACGACAAAAGAAGTAACCGCTCACAGAGCAACAAAGTGGGTTTATCTAGAGTGTGATTTCAGCCGGACGGAACTGAGGGTTGTTGTCGGATGATGCAAAAGAAGGAATATTTGCATTTGATCAAGCAGGGTAACAGTAGTGATTCGTCAATGCGTTGTTAGCTCAAGTGCGCGTATTCGTTGTTGACCCAGGTGACTGTTGATCTGTTCGCCGAGTTTGGCAGTAAGCCTATAAGCGTGTAGATACCAACCGATGAGACTTCGTTGGTAAGCGGACAAGCAGGCCAAATCCGAAGCTCGATGGACAGATAAATACCCAAATAGAGTAGAATGAATAACCGAAGACCTAACAGGACTGTCGATGATGAAAAACATCTGAGGAACAAAGAAGTAGGTTCTACGCGATGCATCCATTTCACTTAAAATTTACCGGTTTAATTTCATATGCAGCAACCCGGTATTTAAAACTCATCCTCAATTGCTGGAGCAGCCAATTTATTTTGATTTGAGTTTTATGGACAAAATCAGCTGTTCAACAAACCAGTAGATGTTAACACACTACTCATGAGGTTGCTGAAAACCCCTAGTCCACGAACAGGCTTACCACATCTTGGATTTCATTAACAAAGCGCTGTTCCTGGGCTTCCAGTAATCTTACGTTTTTGTTTATCGGACAACTATGAATGAACAAGTTGACCCTTTCTTATGAATAGCATGTGTCAGTATTGTTGTGCTTCCTGAAGTTTTGGAAAGAACTTCTAGTGGGATAAATATTGAGCCTCAGTCAACCACAACCGGAAGAGGTAACCTTCCGGGGTGACAATTAAAATGTATCTCGTAGTTGTAGATATATGTTCTTAGAGTTGAATTCTACATTACGTTCCGAAGCGTATTCCGCTCATCGAGGGTCGCTTACATCCCTCCTCACCCCTGAGAGGATGCCGTATTTAGGGAGGTTGAGCATCAGAAGTATCTTGGAACCTTAAAGCTGGGCGCGCGTGGACATTGGGACCTCTACCGATTCACCGAAAATGTATCGAATGCATTCATTTGAAAGGTAACATCAAAGCCGACGCAGTCCCCGAATTTCTGTCAGCCTTAGGTTCCACCGGAAACCGAATTGCACAGAAATTAGTGGAATACACATATTTGGAGAAAAAAACTGGTTTCGCGAAAAAGTCACCCGGAACCCAGTTGAATCTCTCGTATATTTCGCTAATTTGGCGCAATTTGGGTTCAAGTAGAATACAAGGTTGAAGGAAACTCGGGGATCGCGCCTACTTGATGAGTCTCAAGAAGGGCGAAACCGGTCACCGGCTGTCAAAGAGTAGTGTGCAACAGCAAAGCAGATTTTTTCGTGGCTTTTAGTTATCTGGTTACCTCGAACAGAATTCAAGTCCAAGCTTACTGGAACAAAACTATCCTTCTGTATCAAGCTGACTTGTACATTATATTGGTGTTAGTGGGGAACCCGACTGAGTCCGAGCTGAATCACTCGTTATTGATATTCTTCAACTGAATGTGCTGCACAAAGCCCATCTCACATTTCAGTTGGAATCAGATTGGTCTCGGTTATATGCATGTCATTCACTGAAGAATGCGACGGTTGTATAGGAGTTTGTGGGCTTCGACAAGGCTGTATTTGACAACCGACATTACGTCTCCAACTGGACTCAGCTGTTACGCACGAAAAATCCACTAGACGGAAACAGGTGATTGAATAACCGCCTTAACAGCATAATTCTCAAAGATAATGAGAGGACTTTCTTGGCTTCACACACGAAGAGAGTTGATAACTTAAAAGTCGAAATCTGACGAAATACAACCCACAAACCTTATTTGCGAACCGCACTACCGGTGATGAACAGAAACACGTGAGATAACTGATTAGGCAACCGAATGAAACCACACTGTTAAAAACGGATTTCGTGGTCCCAACTGTTGTCTCAAGGTTAACAACGCGACGAATCAGTAAAGTTTACTTACCGAGGTACTGACCTATCAGAAGTGTCACCACAGTAACTGAAACTTCCAATATGGTCTGATTCGTGAAATGTACCACGTGCAGAACGACCATTATCCAAGCGCTGAGCACAAACACCAAGCACAGGATGATACAAGTAACTTTTCGCCATATGGCTCGATCCGAAATCAAGTCATCAATGATACTTGCAACCGACTCCAAATTGGTGTTAGCAACGGATTCAACGGGTGTGGATTGACGGACATACATGGTTATGACCAGACATACATTGAGAACAACCCTCCCCGGAGGGCACGAACTGAAAGAATGCAGACAGGAATTAAATTGGTGGGTAGACATCAACAACACTGCTATGAAAACCATCCAGAGAATGACTTCAAGAGTCAGACCCGTTCACAAGAAAATCGTTTATTGAGTTCTGTACTTTTAAAGCTGGATGGGAACTCGAAACCACCTCAAATCAGCTGCTTAATTATGCCTGGTCCTTTCAGCTAGAATACTGTTGTACAGTAAATCCACGAACAGGCTTGAACACTTCCACACAAGCCACCAATCGTTACTCGGAAAACTGCTTTGCAGCGACAATGTACCAAAGTAGGCTTCAGAATGTGCAGTTTATAAACACGCACTACGATAGCCGATAGTCTTACGGACTTCGCCAATCACATTAGCTCCAACAGAATGGTGTCTGACTAACCAGTGCACACAGTTTCAAAGCCAGAACCTCGTTCGCCGATCCACATGTCTTGTGGTGTCTGAAAGACATGTTGGTGAGAAATAAGAGATTACGTATTATAGAGATAGGTGAGAGGAGATTTCTTACGTCTTTGGGCACTAAAACCCTATAAGCGCTGCTGGCACTTGATTGCGCGTCAATTTCGTATTGAAATAATAATAAACAGGCGTTTCATTGTTCCACAGTGTGTGGGTGTGTATGCGATTAGAAATGAACCCGGGGAGTTTTATTTAGAAACATCCTCCTCAAGGTTTTGCGACCGTCAGACATCGGTTGCCACTTTGTGTGCCCCGGTGTGTGCGATTCCACACTCTGAAGTGTGAACACATTACCACCGCCTTGATTGACGACACAGTTCCGATTGACGCCACGCCCTGGTGCTTCAGTTTGCAGTTGTAACGTGTGTGGCGGCTTGCTCCTCAAGATGAAGACCATACTGGTGGTTTCAGTCGAAACACTGGAGCCTTCCTCTCAGGCTCTCGACCTTGGTTGAAGGCTCCAATCATCCTACTATCCAGATCTGAGCGCCCTGGCAGTATTCTAGCCAATGAACAACCATGACACTTACAATTGACAATACTCTCATGCCTTATCGGCCGTCGCTTGGTGTCACTAGCTTCCTGAATGCAGTAGGATGGGTGAGAGAAACCAGGCTACTGCTGACGCCTCCCTTCGTATACTTCTATCTTTTACCTTACTCCACTGAAACTTGAAGACTTCCCGCAGGTTCAAGCACTGGGTCTGACCGTTTTGCTCGCCCTGCATCACACTTAGCTACAGGTTCCGTATATCCGACTTCAGTAACAACCCTAAACATCTCAAGGTCTCCGAAAGCCCGCGTAGTTACCAAGCAGGACAACAGGTGGCTTTTGCTCGTATGCTGGATTCCCTCTCTCCATTGATGTATATTGTCTGTCAGAAACCAGGATACAGGACGCAAGTGCTGTGATTGAACTGATTACCTCATCGCTCTCTTCCAGGTTCTGGCTGCGCACATATGATGATACAGAGACCGCTGCAGTTGGATATAGCGGTGTGGATATCGTATTAGGCGACCGACCGGAGGCGTCCATATTTGACTGAATACTCGTTGATAGTTGTCTATGTGTCATCCGTTTGGCAACATCTGTGAGAGAATTATAAAAAATGACGTCCTTGGCACTCTGTTTGCTGAGTCTGCTTACGCCCCAACGGGCTGTAGCTCTGAATCTACCGAAGATATTTTCCATGATATTCTAGGTGCCCTTTTGCAACGTGGTAAAAACAGACGTCGTCGCTGTTGCTGGTGACATGAACGCCAAGGTAGGTATACTAAGCGCTGCTGAGGCTCAATTGGGTTGTCGTTTCGGTTTGGACACGAGATGCACGGACACTGCGCTGCTGAGGCTCAAATGGGCGGTCGTTTCGGTTTGGACACGAGACGCATGGGCAATTGTCTGCTTCAGATGTGTGCATATCACAGACTGCTTCTTTGCAATACCCAGTTTCCGACCAGCGGGAATCGCTTGACCACGTGGTGCCCCTAAACAAACCAGTCCCAAATCAGATAGACAATACTGCCATGAAGTCCCAAATCAGATAGACAATACTGCCATCAGTTACCCGTGGCGAGGATCGACCACTGCCTGCCACTACTGCTGATATCCCAATATGGGCTCCGACCATGTGCTTGTGTCCTGCTGCCTTTCATTGCGCTTTTCGTGGACAACTTGCTTAGCCAGTGAGAAGCTGGGGAACCCATAAATCAAAAGAAAAAATCACAACCAGCTCCTCTGACGCCTGCTACACGGTCATATGTCGCATTTTAACTACAACTGGGAACAGTCACCCACAGTTGTACTCAGAGCTGAACTTCCGTTTGCAGCAGAATCCATCTAATCTCATCCAAACAATGGATTTCTGGTGAGACCGTGTCTTTTCTGGAGGCCCTGTGACAGATTCCCTCTGACCGCATCAACAGCTCCACCAGGCGCCAGGTGGAGATGAAGGCCGATGAAGAGTGAGAAGCGTAGTGGACTAGAAAGACCGAAGAAATGAAAGAGGCAGACTGTTCCACTTGATTCGTTTGACTGATCCTCGGAAGCCTCTGTCACCGAAACTATCAGGGACCGGGATAGCTTTCCGGTATCCAGCAAAGGAAAACGTTTTGACCGCTGGGAACAACAATTCAGTTGCTACCTGCTACCTCCAATCCAGAATCCTGGCCTCCAACAGAAAGGTGGACCGTGAATATGGAACCACCTTCAGCCTCGGAAGTGTCCGAGTGTATTTCCCTACTCAATCGTCATCGTGCTGCTAATCATGACGACCATCCACCTGCTCCCTTCAAGGATGGTAGTGGATCCCTCAACCAATGCCGGCCTAGCTTATTTGGATTCATCTGGCAGAAACATACAAATGGGACGAGTCGATTACAGTGCCCATATTCAAAAAGAGTACGTAGTAACCACAGACGTGTCAGCTTGACTCCCGTCGTAACTAGGCTTCTGGCGTAACTGATTCTTCGTCATCTTACAGTGGCATGCAAACCCACGACTTCTGAGCATCAAACGCGATTTCGACCTAGTAGAGGCTGCGTCGACGACATCTTCACAACCCTTCAGGTGTTAGAGAAACGCTACATGGACATACGACCCACAATCTTAGTATAAATTGGCTTCAAGGGTGCGTTCGACTATGGCGGTCCTTGCTCAACAGGGTAGACCCAAGAAGCTTACGAACATAGTCCGGTCTCTATTTTGAAATACTTCTGGGAGAGTGTATGGTGGGCCTCTAAAAGCCTCCCTGAAAATTGGTCTTTTTCAATGTTCGGCTTCATCACTGATGAAATAAAGGCAAACGCTGGAAGATCCTGAAAACTCCGGTGCTCGAAGCGTTACTGCTGAGATACTTGTCGATCCCGGGTACTCAAACGACATCGCCCTCAGCTTTGAAGACTAGTACATCCTCTGTTGAATAGACTGGCCAACGTCATACCATCTTTCGGCAAGCGCAGACCGAAGTACCGTCTACCGAGACGAGTGTTGTTTTCCGTGCCTCATTCAAAATGTCACACGTTGTTAGGTGAACAACGTATGTGGAAGAGATTACGAAGAGTTCGGGAGTTATTGGTGTGGTAGACCTTCCAGGATTGGCTTCCCGTGACCCCGCCTGCGTTTGGCTGGGGACACTGCAAGAAATAGCGACCAATCGACGCCAGTGGCATTCGTGCTGTCAAACTCTCTGAATAAGCTCTTGAGAGCGCAGGACCCTCAGAATACTTGCGATGAGCCAGCATCAGGTCCCCTTTCCTCACTCACTCCTTTCACTTCTTTTCATTTTAAGGTCTTCAATACAATTAGATAAACTTTAAGTTTGTACGCCGGTGAAGCCTTAGTGTCAACAACGACGACGGATCACACAATCATAAACACCCCGGTACCGCATCGGTCGTCGATTTGTGCCGTTGTACCTCACCTACCGCATTAACTGGGACGAGTAAGGAAAGCAAGGTAGAACTTTTTTTCCCTTTCGCACATTTGCTCGTCTGGGCCTCCTCATCACCTTGCTAACTAAATCTCCATATACCCATTTTTGATTACTAACAGACCATTTTGCTGACGATCGCTATTAGCTGTGATATCTACATCTAACTCAGTCGCCACAGTGTAGACACTTCGAAATTATTCTCCATACTCCGACGCTCACTTGGTCTGGTAGTGTTTAGCAGTCAAAGTCTAGGACAAACTGACAACAGGATGCTCTTGTTTGTAAGCTGGACTCGCCTTTTATTGGTGTGTTGTATCCCTGGAACGAGTATCCATGGCCAAACTGAGGTTATGATGCTGATATTCCCCTCAGTCTCTTTCTTGCGTAGCACTGGTGGCTGGGTATGTCGAGGTTGGTACTGTTTTAACCCTTGACCATAAGTGGTCCCTGCTTGAATGGTTACCTTCCGGTCGTCGACTGTGACGTTTGTGAGAGAATCCAGTAACCCTGAAGAACACCGTTGGCTCTAAATTGCATGCGCTTATGCTCCAACGGTCTGTAGTCCTGACACTCACAAAGACAGCTCGCACAACGCTTCGAGCACTTTGTTATTGCGGGTTAGCCGCCTATTTGTTGTTGTCACTGCCAGGAATACGGACATGCAAGCACAATGGACACCGTCGCCGTTTGATCTTCGTGAACCGCAACTGAGACAGACGTGTAACTGTGAACGCCTGCTGTAATACTGGCTGCGGGCCGTTTCTGTCGAAACAATCGAAGTCTTCTGGGCACGTGGTCCCTCTAAAATGCGACTCACCCTCTGACGTGGATTGATAACACCCCCACAGCTACAGGTGATGTAGATCATTTAGTGATTACGCCTACTTCTAGAACACCTTCATTGATTCTGACCACGGATACGTCCGTTGCTGTTTGTCTTCGTGCCTTTCGGGGACGCGCATAATGCGCTTGCCTGGTCAGACCGTTGATTTTTCGGAATCGGACCTCATACATGTTCAACAAGAGTACCTGCTAATGGAACGCACCATCCTCAACTCTGAACTCACTTGGACTCTGCTTATGAAACGGACTAA